AAACTATTGGTTGAGTCAAAAGTCAAACTCCCCCAGAACAAGAAGGAAGGACATTTAGAGAAAAGACAAAATATTTCTGCAGATTTTCCCTTTAAAGTGGTTTGGATGGAAAATTACATAATTCCTAATTCACAGAGAAATGTACATGCTGAACAAAATGCCGGTACTTAGGGTGTATAATGGATGCTGTCATTTAAAAATGTTGCAGTGTGTCGGGTAGGAGTTAGTAAGAGAAGGCCACTCAGCAGCACCCCACTAAGAGAAGTATACGTGTCAAAAATAATGTACATAACTGTATTTTTATATCTAAATTTCACTGAAAAGAAAATAACAAGGAAAGCAATATTTCTCCTTATGACAAAGAAAGGTGTTCCTACTTCTTATTCTGGAGATAGCTCTACTTCATCTTCAGAGGAATCTAGGAACAGAGAAATGGTCTGTACCCTGATACTTGGGGATTAGAAACAACAAGGATGCTTTGCTTGATACGGAATATGCAGGTGGTTGATTAAAAAACATGGACTTAACCAATACTAGGGCATCGTCCTGAGCAGATGATAGATGGCGAAGGAGAGGAGAATGCTATAAAAAAGGCAGACAGTTCTCTACTTAGTGGCTAAAGTCCACCTAATGTACCAACAAGTAGTCAGTCTGCAAAAGGTCTTCAACTATACAAAGTGATTCAGCAACACTTTTCTTGTGCCTTCTGTCTGGCTTAAGTTCCAGCTAAATTTGCCTCTTCACATCCTTAAGGATCATGCTGCGACTGCACTTCTCTGTTTTAAGAGATTTATAACTGCTTCAAGCAATATTTCATTTCCACTGGGTTGGTGGCTGTACAGGACACACTAGCCAGTCGGCAGTTAGATTGTTCATCATGGGGAGAGACTGGGAGTGATTGCTGATGGACCTTAGTCCAGACGTTTCAGCAAGTTGCCAAAGAGGATGGAAACTAGGCAGTGAACCAAGTGTTGCAATGGGTGATTATGTATCATTCTCCTTGCCACTATAAGCTGGCAGGATTTGAACACTGTGGGGCTTATTATAAAACACACTAAAATACATCACCAATTCGTACATGCTGGCCAGCTGCTGAGGAAAACCACTTCCTAATGGAGAGAAGTCAGGCATATTATCCTATGTGGTCCTGCACACTTCTTAAAATTTGTAAAATGACCTGAAAGATTTGGGAGTCTGTGTTTTTCACAATAATGTCCATGCTGGGCTGTGGGAAAGCTGACCTCTTACTATGCTGGAAGTGATCACTGTTGCCACTTTGAAAAAATAGGCAGTGTCTGGGAAACCTTAGGCTTAGTCCTTAAGACTTCTGCCAGTATGCTAAACTCCCTTTGTGGTGACTACTATCCCAAGATGAAGGATAAGTGCTTGTCAGTAGCTGAGAGCATGAGCGTTGCACAACACACGTCGGGCCATGCTTTGACCTCTTCATTTGGGAACTTGAGAGCTCAGGGCACTCACTTTGGCACCTCAGAGTGTCTGCCTGAGAAGAGGGATAAATAATCAACCAAATCCAAACTGTGGCTCTGGTGAGGGTTGAAGGAGGTAACGTATATGAAGTCGGCCACGGTGATGATTCAATTTCTTAACAGCTGATACTGGCAATTGCGCTGTGTAAATGGGAGATCTTTGATGAGATAATACGCAGCCTCATAGGTACAGAAACACACATATTGACATCACATGATGCAGAATCACACAGGATTCCCCCAATCCTCAAGCCCACAAGACAGTGCCACCCTAGGAAGCACAAATGCTTTCATGAAATGCAGAAACTGGGCCAAATTTTTCTTTTCTAAGAATTCATTCTTTTTTTCAAAACCACTTTCAAATGCTTATTCCCATCAGAAACCTAGGATCAGGGTGGCTCTCCAAATTGGAGCAAGGATGACATAACTTTCTTAGCATTTCAATTTTTCATTCTCAACAGGAAAGAATACAATACTTACCATAGGATTGTAGAAACGCCTGCAATACAGAAACAAAACATGATGATGATTAGATCGTGTTGTGGATCATTTGCACATGGATGCCTGTGAACAACTCAAAGGCATCCACACAAAGGTAGCGTACAGCACTGGAAAGACAAGAGCCTTTCCTTAAGAATGTATTGCTCTGGTTCATTTAGCTACAAAATGCATATTCCAAGAAGACATGGCTTCCAAGGAATAGGGCCCTAGGTAAAGTTGATAACCTCATGCTGCCACATGTGAATGTTCTTTTGTATCAGATATCAGTTACTGAGAGTCACTTCTTCCATTGTTTCAGAAGAGAGTATTTCATATTTATAATGTACACTGAGGTGTTCTCCTATGTGAAGTCAAGAGTAAAAGAGTAAAAAAGAAAGCAGCATTTGTGTTTCAGGCAAAGAAAGGCAGGCTTCACCTCAACTCAAGGTCCGTCCATTCGAAATCTTCGCTGATGTAGATCTTTGGAGATACTAGAAGAACACAGAGTATCGGTCAGTCATTGAGGCTGTTTTTGATGAAAGACACAGAAAGCTCTGCTTAATATAGACATTAGGATAGTGTGTATTGATGGGTTTTGTGGGAAAATATAGCTTGAGATATAAGGGAAAGGGAGAGCTGGTGGCCACTGTTGAAGGCAGGATGCAACGTATTCAAAGATTGACCTCATTCTCAGGCATAGATCAAGGATGAACAATTCCAAAAGTGGAAATGATACCAGGCATCCTCACAGACCACAGCAGACTAAAAATAAATACAATCACCAACAGGAACCCTCCGAAATACACAAATACATGGACATTAAGCAACATGCTGGGGAATGACTTTGGCGTTAACACAAAAATCAAGGGAGAAATAAAAATATTCCTGAAAAAAAATGAAAACAAAGACACAACATAGTGAAATCGCTAGAATATCAAGAAAGCACTACTGACAAAGAAAAATATAACATTACACACACATATCAAGAAAATAGAGGAATCTCGAGTAAACAGCCAACATCACATCTAAGAAGAGTAGAAAGGCAAGAACAATTGATTTTTACATTTAGTGGGAAAATTGAAATTACTGAAATGAAGTCACAATTGAATAAAACAGAATCAAAAAAATTACAAAGACTTAACAAGGCACAAAGCTGGTTCCTTCAAAGGATAAATAAGGTTGAGAGACCGCCTGGCCAGACAGACCAAAAATCAATCCATCAGTGAATCAATAAAAGAAAAGAAAAGAAAAGAAAATGGTGATGTCACAAGTGACCCTGAAAAAATCCTAAAGTTTGTTAGAGATAATTGCCATCATCTTATGCAAAGACACGAGAAAATCTAGGAGAAATGGAGGAATTTCTGGTATTGCATAATCACCTGAGGTTGAAATAGGTAGAAATTGAACCTCTAAACAGACAAATAAAAACCAAACAAATCAACTCAGTTCTAAAAAACCTGCCCACCACCAAAAGTCCTCAGCCAGATGGTTTCTCAGCTAGTTTCATTAAGTCATAAAAGGAAGAGCTGATACCAATCCCATTGAAACTATTCTGGACAATCAAGAAGGAAAGACTTCTCCCTAGCTCATTCTATGAAGGCACTGTCATCCTGATACCCAGGCAATGATTTCATGGCTGAGTTGTCAGCAGCAAAAAACTGAAATTGACAAGTGGGATCTTATCAAGCTCAAAAATATTTGCACAGCAAACGTGATCATCAAGAGAATAAACAGACAAGTCACAGAATGGGATGAAATGTTTGGAAACTGTGTATTCAACAAAGGCCCAACCACCAGGATGTATGAGAAACTCAAAAAAATTGACAGGGGGAAAAATTCCATTACAACGTGGGCAAATGAAATGTACAGACACTTCTCAAAAGAATACATAAAGCAGGCAACAAACATGAACAAAGTGCTCAGCTCTAATTATCATCAGAGCAAATGCAAATCAAGACTGCAATGAGGTACTATCTCACACTGCTCAGGACGGCTGTTATTAAAAAGTAACAACATCATCAATAGGTGTTGGTGAGGCTACAGAGAAAAGAGAACACTCCTATACTGTTGGAGTAAATGCAAGTTAATGCATGTGGAAAGCATTTTGGAGATGTCTCAACCTAGCAATCCCACTCCTGGGAATATGCCCAAAGGAACACGAATCACTCTACCAAAAACAACACCTGCCCCTGTATGTCTATTACAGGGCTACTCAGTGTAGCAAAATCAGGGAACCAAACCAGATACCCATTGTAGGTGGACTGAAGAAAGTGTGGTATATACACACGATGGAATACTACACATCCATAAAAAAATAAAATTACACCCTTTGCAGCAACATGGATGCACCTGGTGACCATCGTTCCGAGTGAATCATCACAGAAACAAACACTACATACCACAAAAGTTCTCACTCGTAAGAGGGTCCTCAACACTGGGCACCATGGGTTCAAAAATCGAAGCAAGACAATTGGAGCTCAATTAGAGAGGGAGGGAGATAAGGGAAACAAAACCACTCACAGGATACCATGGTCATCACTGTGGGTGGGGAGGGCTTTTCAGAAGTCCAAATCTTGCCTTCATGCAATGTAATTCCATAACAAATGCTCCCATGTAGACCATGATTCTACAAATATGCACATCACATGTTCTGATTTTAAAAGACTAGAAAGCCTGCAAAGAATGCCGTCAGACCACTGTGGTGTGAAAGTATATACTCACAATAGTAAGATAGCCAGAAAATCTCCGTGTTTGTAAGTTAAGCCACACAATACTTTCTTGGGTGGCATTCATAGGGTACACTCTGGCCACAGTTCCCTCCTTGCGAAAATCATCTTTCTCTCATGGAGAGATCTCCAAAGTTCCTTCCTCCCCAACAGAGACCCAGAATTTGGTTCTATACCCTAAAGCCTACAGCTTTGTTCCTCAGCAAGTGGGTTAATTCAGGATACGTACCATCAAGCCCTGCACTGGGTGACCTCTGCAGCTAGGTAAAAAAAAAAAAAAAAAACCAGTGTAAGTAAATTATACTGTGCAATGCTCTGAGGTCTACTGTTTCTTGATAAAGAGAATACTATTGGTTGAGTCAAAAGTCAAAGTCCCCCAATACTAGAAGGGAGGACACTGGGGGAAAAGACAAACTCTTTCTGCAGAATTTGCCTTTAAAGTTGGTTTGGACTGACAATCACACAATTCCTAATTCATGGAGGAATGTAGATGCTGAAGGAAAGGCATAGTGTGCCAGGTAGGAGTCAGTAAGAGAGGGCCGGGCCACTCAGCAGTATCCCACTAAGAGAAGCATACGTGGAAAACTAATGTACATAACTGTGTTGTTATATCTATGTTTCACTGAAAAGAAAGTAACCAGGAAAGCAACATTTCTCTCCTCAAGACAAAGAAAGGTGGTCTTACTTCCTGTTCTGGAGCTGCCTCGTGTTTCTCCTCAGAGGATTCTGGGACAATACAGAGAACGGTCAGTACCCTGGCACTTGGTGATTAGAAAACAGCAAGGATGCTTTACTTGATATGGTATATGCAGGTGGTTGATTAAAAAAACATGGACTTAACTGATCCTAGGCATCCTCCTGAGTAGCTGACAGATGGGGAAGCAGAGGAGCAAACTATAAATAAGGCAGACAGTTCTGTACCTAGTGGCTAAAGTCCACCTAATGTACCAACAAGTCGTCAGTCTGCAAAAGGTCTTCAACTATACACTGTGATTCAGCAACAGTTTTCTCGTGCCTTCTGCCTGGCTTTAGGTCCAGCTATATTGGCCTCTTCACATCTCTCAAGAAAATGCTGCTAGTTCACTTGACAGTTTTATGAGATTTACACTAGTTTCAAGCAATATTTCATTTCCACGGGGTTGATGGCTGTACAGGACACACTAGCCAGATGGCAGTTAGACTGTTCATCATGGGGAAGGCTGGGAGCGATTGCTGATGGTCCTTAGTCCGGATGTACCAGAAAGCTGCCAAGGGCATGGAAACCAGGCAATGAACCAGCTGCTGCACTGGGTTCTTATGTGCCATTCTCCTTGCCAGTATAAGTGGGCAGGATTTGAGCACTGTGGGGCTTATGGAGATAATATTACAAAGCATACTAAAATACATCACCAATTCTTACACGCTGGCCAGCTGCTGAGCCAAATCACTTCAGAATGGAGAGAGGTCAGCCATATTATCCTATGTGGTCCCTCACACTTCTTAAAATCTGAAACTGACCTGAAATGTTTGGGTATCTTTGTATTTTCCACAATAATGCCCATGCTGGGCTGTGGGAAAACTGGCCTCTTACTATGCTGGAAGTGACCACTGTGGCCACTTAGTAAAAATGGACAGTGTCTGGGAAATCTTAGGCTTAGTCCTTTAAGCCTTATGCAAGTATCCTGACTTGTATCGTGACTGCTATCCCAAGATGACTATCCCAAGATGAAGGATAAGTGTTTGTCAGTAGCTGAGAGCATGAGCATTGTACAATGCACCTCAGGTCATGCTTTGACCTGTTCATTTGGAAACTTGAGAGCTCAGGGCACTCACTTTGGCATCTCAGAGTGCCCCACTAAGCAGTAGGGATAAATAATCAACCAAACTCAAACTGTGGCTCTGATGAGGGTTGAAGGAGGTAACGTATATGAAGTCAGCCATGGTAATGATTCAATTTCTTAGCCGTTGACACTGGCAAGTGTGTTGTGTAAATGGGAATACTTTACTGAGGTAATAAGCAGTTTCATAGGTACAGAAGCACACACTGACATCACATGATGAAGAATCACACAGGATTCCTCCAATCCTCAAGTCCACAAGACATTGACACCCTAGGAAACACAAATGCTTTCATGAGATGCAGAAACTGGGCCAAATTTGTTTCCAAAGAATTCATTCTTTTCTTCAAAACCACTTTCAATTGTTTATTCCCATTAGAAACCTAGGATCAGGGTGGCTCTTCAGATGGAAGCAAGGACGCCACATCTTTCTTAGCATTCCAATTTTTCATTCTCAACAGGAAATCATACAATACTTACCAAAGAGTGGATTAAACACCTGCAAAACAGAAACAAAGCATTATGATGATTACATCGTGTTGTGGATTGTTTGCACATGGATGCCTGTGAACAACGGAAAGACATTCAAAAAGTTAGCGTACGGCACTGGGAGGACAAGAGCCTTTCCTGGAGGATGTATTGCTCTGGTCCATTTAGCTACAAAATGCATATTCCAAGAAGACACGGCTTCCAAGGAATAGGGCCCTAGGTAAAGTTGATAACCTCATGCTGCCACATGTGAATGTTCTTTTGTATCAGGTATCAATTCCTGAGAGTCGCTTCTTCCACTGCTTCACAAGAGAGTATTTCATATTTATAATGCACACAGAGGTTTTCTCCTATGTGAAGTCAATTGTAAAAGAGAAACAAAGAAAGTAACATTTGTTTTTTAGGCAAAGAAAGGCAGCCTTCACCTCACCTGACGTAGTATCCTTGTATTTTCTGCATATAGGTCATTCTTGGGAGAGCCTAGAAGAACACAGAGTATCCATCAATCATTGAGGCTGTTGAAGATGATAGACACAGAAAGCTCTGCTTAATATAGACATTCGGATAGGGTGTATTGATGGGTTTTTTGGGGAAAATATAGCTTGAGACATAAGAGAAAGGGAGAGCTGGTGACCATCATTGAAGGCAGGATGCAACATATTCCATGATTGACCTCATTATCAGGCATAGGTCAAGCGTGAACAACTTCCAAAAGAGGAAATGATACCAGGCATCCTCTCCGACCACAGCAGACTAACAATAAATACGATCACCAACAGCAACCCTCCTAAATACACAAACACACGGACATTAAGCAACATGCTGGTGAATGACTTTGGGCTTAACACAAAAATCAAGGCAGAAATAAAAATACTCCTGGAAAAAAATAAAAACCAAGACACAACATATTGAAATCTCTAGAATATCATGAAAGCACTGCTGACAAAGAAAAATGTAACATTACCACACATAGCCAACATCACATCTAAGAAGAGTGGAAAGGCAAGAACAATTGATTTCTACATTTAGTGGGAAAATTGAAATTACTGAAATGAAGGCACAATTGAATAAAACAGAATCAAGAAAATTACAAAGACTTAACAAGGCACAAAGCTGGTTGCTTCAAAGGATAAATAAAATATAGAGACTGCCTGGCCAGACAGACCAAAAATCAATCAATCAAAAAAAAAAGAAAGAAAGAAAATGGAGATGTCACACGTGACCCTGAAAAACCTCTAACGTTTGTCAGAGATAATTACCATCATCTTATGCAAACTCACGAGGAAATCTAGGAGAAATGGAGGAATTCCTGGCATCGCATAACCACCCGAGGTTGAAACAGGAAGAAGCCAGTCTCAGTGGCTCAGCCTGTAATCTCGCGCCTTTGGGAGGCTGAGGTGAGTGGGTTGCCTGAGCCTGCGGGTTCGAGACCCACCTGGGTAGCGAGACCTCATCTCTACAATAAATAAATAAAAAAATCAGCCAGGCATGGTAGCGCATGCCTGTAATTCCGGCTACTTGGAAGGCTGAGGCAGAAGGATCGCCGGAGCCCAGTAGATTCGAGGCTGCGGTGGCCGGGAGCGGCCATTGCACTCCAGTCTGGGCAACAGAGTGAGACTCAAACTCAAACTCAAAAAAAAAAAAAAAGAAACAGGAAGAAACTGAACCTCTACACAGACCAATAAAAACCCAACAAGGCAACACAGTTCTAAAATACCTGGCCACCAACACAAGTCCTTAGCCGAATGGCCTCCCAGCTAGTTTCAGTAAGACATATAAGGAAGAGCTGATACCAATCCCATCGAAAGTATTCTGGGCAATGAAGAAGGAAAGACTTCTCCCTAGCTCATTCTATGAACCTACTGTCAACCTGATACCTGGGCAACGAACTCATGGCTGAGTTCTCAGGAGCAAATGCAGCAAAATACTGAAATTGACAAGTGGGACCTTATCAAGCTCAAAAATATTTCCACAGCAAACGTGACCATCAAGAGAATAAACAGACAAGTCACAGAATGGGATGAAATGTTTGCAAGCTGTGTATTCAACAAAGCCCTAACCACCAGGATGTATGAGAAATTAAAAAAAAAAAAACTGACAGGGGGGGAAAAACCCATTAAAACGTGGGCAAATGTCATGTACAGACCCTTGTCAAAAGAAGACGTAAAGCAGGCAACAAACATGAACAAACTGCTCAGCACGAATTATCATCAGGGGAAATGCAAATGAAGACTGCAATGAGGTACTATCTCACACTGATCAGGATGGCTGTCATTAAAAAGTAACAACAACATCAATAGTTGTTGGTGAGGCTACAGAGAAAAGTGAACACTCCTATACTGTTGGTGTAAGTGTCAGTTAATGCCTGTGGAAAGCATTTTGGAGATCTCTCAACCTAGCAATCCCACTCCTGGGAATATGCCCAAAGGAACATGAATCACTCTACCAAAAACAACACCTGCTCCTGTATGTCGATTACAGGACTATTCAGTGTAGCAAAATCACAGAAGCAAACCAGATGCCCATTGTAGGTGGACTGAAGAAACTGTGGTACATACACACGATGGAATACTACACATCCATAAAAAAGAATAAAATCACGTCCTTTGCAGCAACATGGATGCACCTGGTGACTATCGTTCTGAGTGAATCATCACAGAAACAAAAACTAAATACCGCAAAAGTTCTCACTTGTAAGAGGGTCCTAAACACGGGGCACCATGGGTTCCAAAATGGAAGCAAGACACTTGGAGCTCAATTAGAGAGGGAGGGAGAAAAGGGAAACAAAACCACTCACAGGATACCACGGTCATCACTGTGGGTGGGGAGGGCTTTTCAGAAATCCAAATCTTGCCTTCACGCAATGTAACTACGTAACAAATGCTCCCATGTATACCATGATTCTACAAATATGTATATCACAGGTTCTAAATATAAAAGAGCAGAAAGCCTGCAAAGAATGCCCTCAGACCACTGTGGTGGGAATGTATATACTCACAACAGTAAGATAGCCAGAAAATTCCCAAGTGTTTGTAAGTTAAGCTACACAATACTTTCTTGGGTGGCATTCATAGGGTACACTCTGGGCACAGTTCTATCCTTGCGAAAATGATCTTCCTCTCATGTGGAGACCCGCAAAGTTCCTTCCTCCCCACAGAGACCTAGAATCTGGTTCTATACGCTAAAACCAACAACTTTGTTCCTCAGCAAGGGAGTTAATTCAGGATACGTACCGACAATGCCTGCTCCAGGTGACCTCTGCAACTAGGTGAAAAAAAACCAACAAACAGTGTAAGTAAATTATACTGTGCAATGCACTTGAGGTCTACTATTTCTTGATGAAGAGAATACTATTGGTTGAGTCAAAAGTCAAAGTCCCGCAAAACTAGAAGGGAGGACACTGGGGGGAAAGACAAACTCTTTCTGCAGAATTTGCCTTTAAAGTTGGTTTGGACTGACAATCACACAATTCCTAATTCATGGAGAATTGTAGATGCTGAAGGAAAGACATAGTGTGCCGAGTAGGAGTCAGTAAGAGAGGTCTGGGGACTCAGCAGCATCCCACTAAGAGACGCATACACGGAAAACTAATGTACATAACTGTATTGTTATATCTAAGTTTCACTGAAAAGAAAGTAACCAGGAAAGCAACATTTCTCTCCTCAAGACAAAGAAAGGTGGTCTTACTTCCTGTTCTGGAGCTGCCTTGCGTTTCTCCTCAGAGGATTCTAGGACAATACAGAGAATGGTCAGTACCCTGGCACTTGGTGATTAGAAAACAGCAAGGATGCCTTACTTCATATGGTATATGCAGGTGGTTGATGAAAAAAACATGGATCAACCAATCCTAGGGCATCCTCCTGAGTAGATGACAGATGGGGAAGCAGAGGAGCAAACTATAAATAAGGCAGACAGTTCTTTACCTAGTGGCTAAAGTTCACCTAATATACCAACAAGTAGTCAGTCTGCAAAAGGTCTTCAATCATACACTGTGATTCAGCAACAGTTTTCTCGTGCCTTCTGCCTGGCTTTAGGTCCAGCTAAAATGCCTCTTCACATCTTTCAAGAACATGCTGCTACTGCACTTGTCAGTTTTACGAGATTTACATTGCTTCAAGCAATATTTCATTTCCACTGGGCTGATGGCTGTACGGGACACACTAGCCAGTTGACAATTAGACTCTTCATCATGGGGAAGGCTGGGAGCGATTGCTGATGGTCCTTAGTCCGGATGTACCAACAAGTTGCCAAGGGGATGGAAACCAGTCAATGAACCAGCGGCTGCCCTGGGTTCTTATGTGCCATTCTCTTTGGCATTATAAGCCGGGAGGATTTGAGCACTGTGGGGCTTATGGAGATATTACAAAATATACTAAAATACATCACCAACTCTTACATGCTGGCCAGCTGCTGAGCCAAATCACTGTAGAATAGAGTGAGGACAGTCATATTGTCTTATGTGATCCATCATACTTCTTAGACCTGTAAACTGACCTGAAATATTTGGGTATCTTTGTGTTTTCCACAATAATGCCCATGCTGGGCTGTGGGAAAACTGACCTTTTACTATGCTGGGCCAAATTTGTTCCCTAAGAATTCATTCTCTTTTTCAAAACCACCTTCAATTACTTATTCCCATCAGAAACCTAGGATCAGGATGGCTCTTCAAATTGAAGCAAGGACGCCATACCTTTCGTGGCATTCCAGTTTTTCAATCTCAACAGGAAATTATACAATACTTACTGGAGGGTTGTAGACATGCCTGCAATACAGAAACAAAACATTATGATGATTACATCATGTTGTGGATCGTTTGCACACGGATGCCTGTGAACAACTCAAAGGCATCCAAACAAAGGTAGCGTACAGCACTGGGAAGACAAGAGCCTTTCCTGGAGGATGTATTGCTCTGGTCCATTTAGCTACAAAATGCATATTCCAAGAAGACATGGCTTCCAAGGAAAAGGGCCCTAGGTAAAGTTGATAACCTCATGCTGCCACATGTGAATGTTCTTTTGTATCAGGTGTCAGTTCCTAAGAGTCGCTTCTTCCATTGTTTCACAAGAGAGTATTTCATATTTATAATGTACACTGAGGTGTTTACCTATGTGAATTTAATTGTAAAAGTGAAGCAAACAAAGCAACATTTGGGTTTCAGGCAAAGAAAGGCAGGCTTCGCCTCACCTCGTGGCATACTGTGTCGTAGCTTGACAAAAACGAGGATTCCTTTGCAGGGCCTAGAAGAACACAGAGTATCAGTCAGTCGTTGAGATTGTTGTGGATGAAAGACACAGAAAGCCCTGCTTAATACAGACATTAAGAGAGTGTGTAGTGATGGTTTTGTGGGAAAATACAGCTTGAGACACAAGGGAAAGGGAGAGTTGGTGGCCATCGTTGAAGGCAGGATGCAATGTATTCCAAAATTGACCTCATTCTCAGGCATAGATCAAGCATGAACAACTTCCAAAAGTGGAAATGATACCAGGCATCCTCTCAGACAACAGCAGACTAAAACTAAATATGATCACCAACAGGAACCCTCCGAAATACACAAATACATGCACATTAAGCAACATGCTGTGAATGACTTTGGACTTAACACAAAAATCAAGGCAGAAATAAAAATACTCCTGGAAAAAAATGAAAACCAAGACACAACATATTGAAATCTCTAGAATATCATGAAAGCACTGCTGACAAAGAAAAATGTAACATTACACACACATAGCCAACATCACATCTAAGAAGAGTGGAAAAGCAAGAACAATGATTTCTACATTTAGTGGGAAAATTGAAATTACTGAAATGAAGGCACAATTGAATAAAA